AAATATAAATTAAAATTTAAAAACAATATTCTCACTCCTAAAAGCTAAATTTCCTGAAGCCAGAAAAATTTTTACATAAAAGAATGCATTATAAAATTAATAAAATCCATCGCTTTGTTTCATCTCCAATTTGTTTCATGTTCAAAGGAATTTTTACATGCTGTTAAATATGAAGATAATTTTTACTTTATTGTTCAAACAAAAGGCAAATAAAAAACGTGTACGTTCAAATGGAAAATGAAAACAGTGTAAAGTAATAATTATTTTAAATGAAAACAAAGTTTTCATTTAAAGGATGATGAAATTAATACACATAATTTGCTTATGCTTTAAATATGTTATCAGATAAAATTTTTATCATTGAAATTATTTTTTTTTATAGCATATGTGATGCCTCATAGACTGTGATGCCCGGGGCAAACAACTTCACTTGCCCCTCCCTCTTGGCGGCCCTATATATATATATATATATATATATATATATATATATATATATATATATATATATATATATATATATATATATATATATATATATATATATATATAAATTTTATTAATTTATTTTGTGCGGCCGTGGCGCAGTGGTTACAGCGCTTCCTTCATAAGCAGGAGATCCAGGTTTAAAACTAGTTCTGCACATATTTTTGCGTCACGGTAAGGAAGGAGGCGTGAACTTCCTGGTTAAATGCACTTCCACGGTGCTCTGTGACAAGACCGTTAGGTTTTCTTAGGGCACCTAAATAAGAAAAAATAAATAAATATATATATATATACATGAATATTACAACTATTTACATATTATATCTACTTGATCAAAACTTTATGATGAAGAATAAAGATAATAAAATAAGTACATAAATATAAAGAATAATATTAACTCATAATAGAGAGTAAGTGTTAATAAGAATAAAATGAGGGAGGGTGAATCTTTAAAAATTGCGGACATCTTTTTTAAAATTGAAAGAACAGTAAAATCGCTTCTCCCTGTTGGTGTTAATAAGGTATTATTTTGCATATTAAAATCAAAAAAATTGCCACCCTATTAAATAGTAACCTTTTTAAATAAACTTTTTTGTCGAACAAAATTTATTCAGTTTTGTATTGCTTATTTGAGGAATGACTTCACTGTAAACCTAAATCCTAAAAATTTTTATGTTTAAATTGTATGAAAAATACATTACAGCTATCCGGTTATGTTATGTTTATACAAATTATACATTGAAAATAACGCGCATTTACCGTTATCTTATGTTGTATTCATACGAATTATACATTGAATATAACAATAATTACCCGTTATAAAACAAGAAAACTAGCGTCATTTATTTTTAAAAAACAACTGATTTTTTTAATAGTATACACCCAACAATGCACCTGAGTGACAAGCATAATGACTATCTACTTGCTCCTGAACATCTAGTTTTCCAGAATAAAGGTTTAGTGATTAATTAACAAGCAAAAATAAGTTAAGCTTAAATGCATGGTTACTCAGTATGTAAAACTTGTTCCAAACCTGCAATATAAAAAACACAATATCGTGCATTATCACCACCTGAAGCTGTATTAATTGATTGGTATGAATAAAACTAATAAATATTAAAAGATGCTGAAAACGATGGTTCTTTCAGCTTGTTTTGACAGAGTGTGAGTGATATTTATAAAACTAACTTCATCTTTATGTTTTATTCCTATTAATCTTGTTAGCTCATTATTGAGCGCTACCATCTCGAAAGGAAGTGAACTCACCCACTCAAACAACTTCTACGAAGTACAAACCACTAACATTAAGATTCACTACCATTAAGATCTCTTGAGCGTACTGCAGGTCGAATAGCGGTTCTGCCAAAATATAATTTAAACGTTCAACAGCTCCTGTTTTGCAGTTGTTTCAAGCCACACCTTGTCAACTCTAAAAGCCAGGCGGTGACATGAAATTGCGGGAAGCAATCTTGTTTATGACAGCGGGATGCATTTGTTTATGCAAGTGAAATGATCTGCAATTTCTACCACGTTCTTGTAGTATACAGTTTTGTTGTTTTTATAATGGCTGGCTAAATACACAACCGTCAGAGAGTATTTGGATGTACGCTCACCAACTTAATCCTCCCTGGTGGACAACATTAGGAATGCTATCACAAAATGTACGTTTTGGTATGTAGTCGGGAGTTGGTAAGTAAATTTGTCAAGTAGCCTGCTTCCTTAACCATTTGCTAGCAACCTTTTTAAATATGCTGTTATTGTAAGCTTCTTAATAGCAGATAGTTTACGCCAAACGACATTTTGAACTGTATTATAAATAGTTTCCTATTTATTATAAGTATGATTTAAAATTGTTATATCATTTATATGAATTATACAAGTAGCGAAAAAATTATCATGCACTCTGTAGGCATTAGTGAGCTATCCGTGACTAGTCTTACTTGAGTTAAACTTTCCATGAACAAAAATAACATTTTTTTTTTTTTTTTTAATTTTATTTTATTTTGCTGTTTTCATAAATTACAATTTCCTTTTACCAAAAATAAAATATAATTACAAATGTACAAGTAATAAATAGTCAGGGACTCAAAGAAGATATGGATGACAAAATAACAACCTGATCTTTTCATAGACCCCCTACAGATCATAACAATAATATATGGTAATATATGGTTAATAAATCAAGTAGAAAATTTAGGAAAAAAAAAAAGAAACAGTAAAAAAGAAGATATAATATTTAAGAATAAAAATAGAGAAAAAAGAAGATGTATCAATTAAAAGTAAAAACACCCTCAATTAGTCAAAAAAGAAGATATATTATTTAAAAATACATATAGTGAATAAAGAACATATAGTGATATATATATATGTATATATATATATATATATATATATATATATATATATATATATATATATATATATATATATTATATATATATATATATATATATATATATATATATATATATATATATATATATGTATATATATATATATATATATACATATATATAAAAATATATATATATATATATATATATATTTATATATATATATATATATATATTTATATATATATATATATATATATATATATATACAGACATATATATATATATATATATATATATATATATATATATATATATATATATATATATATATATATATATATATATATATATATATATATATATATATATATATATATATATAATATATATATATATATATATATATATATATATATATATATATATATATATATATATATATATATATATATATATATATATATATATATATAGTTAAAAAGCTATAATATTAATAAATACTAATAGTCACAAAAAGTTATAAAAGAATATATTTAAATACAAATTTCCAATTAAATATATGATATTATATTCAACATATAATATATAAAGATTAATATTTAAAAATACAAACTGTTAAATAATCAGATGAAATGCTAAAAAAAATTTTTTTGTAAACAAAAATAAAAATTAATCCGTAAGATTTATATATATTTATATATATATATATATATATATATATATATATATATATATATATATATATAATATATATATATATATATACATACATGTAATGTATGTATATATATATATATATATATATATATATATATATATATATATATATATGTATATATATATATATATATATATATATATATATATATATATATATATATATATATATATATATATATATATATATATATATATATATATAATGTAAGTTATTTACATACATTGTAAATAACTTGCGGCTCTCGATGGCAATATCTGATTAGTCTTTTGCGAATTTCTGCACTTTATTTTTTCTTTAATACTTGTATATTTGTTTTATTTTGTGTAAAAAAAAAAACAATTTAACCAACAGTTAACAGAATAAAAAACCTCATCATTTTATTTTTTTTTTAATTTTATGCTTTTAGATAAAACTTTTTTCATTTTCTTTAGAGTAATGGTTTGTGGACTTACGTCCTTTCTAAAAACACTGGTTCAATCATAATTTAACTTTAATAAAGTAAAAAGCCAAGCTATTTAATTTATTTATGTAAGACCTTTAAAAAATCATGAAAAAATCAAAAAAAATATTTGTGTAGTTCTGACACGATACTTATCGCTGAACTCGAATTTGAAAACCATTTCTCAAAGTAAGATTTAGTTCTTGAGATATAAATCAATTCTTTCGACAGGATAATTTTGATCTGCCTATCAACACGCATAGCAACAGGTTTTTAATCAGAATTCCAATTTTTTTTTTTTTAATAAATTTTTCAAACAATGGGTAGATCATGTAGAGATCAAAGAAAGTACTCAAAGTAAAAAATCCAGAAAGTTTCATGGAAATAGATACACTAAAACTTTGCGAAACGATTCAACTCATAAGTTGCTCCTGTTATTAGTTATAAAAAAGGACCATATTTCTTGTAACACTTCATCAAATTTATCTATATTCTCATAAAAAATAGAGAAAATTGAGACAACTCAGCAGCATAAAAATGAAACTTTTAATTATTGAATTGTTGATATTAAAGTTTTGTCTGGTGTTATTAATCAAATTAATGTTGCAAAAAATGTTTTTTAATAAAATATTTTTGAGGGGTCTTATACCTTAATCACGCATTAAGTCAATAATATAATAATTTTAATGTTACAGATTTGTTTAGTTCCTGACAATATTTACTGACAAAACCAAAAGTTATCACTTTTTACATTTTTGATTGAAAAAATTTAAAAAAATTTTATGAAAGTTTTTCTATAACAGCAATTAATTTTGATACTTTATATATAAAATATGTTATATATAATACACTAAGATTATTTACTGAATTAAAATTTACTGAAGCATATCAAAATTTATTTCAATTCTCAAATATATTTGATCATCAGTTATATTTGAAAACCCGGCTGGTTTTGTTTTTCACCGGGATTCTTAATATTTTGGGTAGCTCTAAACTGTTTTAGTTTGTGTACGAATAGATTTAATCGATAAGAATTGACCGAAAATATTTTTCGGGACTTTTCCGGTAATACTTATGTAAATTTTTAATAGTCACTTTTTACGGTAAAAGTATAGTTTATTGAAATAGAGGCAATTGCGCCTTCCCACAATTCACTTACCATACATTCGAACTAAAAGTACATCAAGGTCGCATTTGCAACAATGGCTGCTCAAACTACTGATCAGCAGAATGCCCTTAAAGACGCTATGGCTCGTGCCAAACAGGTGAATGCTTAAGATAAATCTTGAAAGAGACTTTGCATTTTGTTTTTGTAGTCAAATTTAAAATAAAGGACCCTTTTATTAAAATATCAACGTTGATATCACATGCCACTGCGTTCTTGATATGCACGTGTAAATTCTGATCAAATCGTTTTAGTCAAAGTGCCAATTCTATTTTATCGATTGTTATGTTATAAAATAAATAACATAAGTTACTACGTATTGCAAAAATGTAAAGCATGGTTTAGAGCAGAGTTGAATATATTTCTCACTAAAACTTATCTTACAGTAACTTACATGTTTTTGTTTTTACAAATCTTGCTATTTCTTACAAAAATCATCTTACAGCAATAGCTGCAATTCCTAAAATAAAATCTTTTATGACTTAGATGTTCCTGCAAGTAATTAATGTTCATAAGATTGTTGGATATTTATTTAGTTACCATCCTAAGTTCTAAAGGCTTATTAAGTTTGATTAAAATTAACAATAATTTTCCTTGCTGTTTTGGTCAACAGTTATACAAAAATAAAATAAAATTTAACTTATTTAATCATAAACTAAATATCTTTTTAAGGTACTCTTTAGTGGAGTTCCTATTTACATAATTTTTTTTTTCCAACATTTTTTAGTTATTGAATTTGTATTTAATTGCCATGTGTTTTGTGTTAAAAATGAAAAAAATTAATTTACTTGTTTTACTTTATAAAAATTAATATCCACTTTGAAAATAGTTACTAACATTTTCAGTGGCTTTGATAAAAAAAGCAGGTGCTAATTTGTTTTTATTATACCTTTTAATTTATAATCTTTTGATTTTCATTTTGATATTTAGATAAAAAATGCTGTAATGTGATATTGAAAACATATATTTAATATAAAATCTTTTCAATATTAGTAAAATATTAAATATTAATAAAATATTTTATGTTTATAACAATTATCCAGCATCAAAATTATATTAATATAATTTGATACTGAATAAATTAATTACTTGAGAGGTAAAGCTACAGTTAACTTTTTTTTGCTTGTTACGCTCTCATCAGTATAGACTTTTTAAACAAGGATTATTTATTGGCTTAAGTATATACATTGACTATCTTCAGTCTGTCGTTGCAGGGTAGTGGTGCCACACTGTCTGAGGCATGATTAGCATGAACCAGCAATCTTTTTTCTTTTATTATTCTGAAAAAATATGTTTAAAAAAGTCCCCACTGACAAGAGTGCAACATGCAAATAAATGAAATTATTTCAGACCATTTAACTGTAGAAAAATACCTATTTGAAAATAGACTAATATTAAGATAATTATTCAAGTAATATGTATAAATGTTTGCATATGTATGTATGTGTATATATATATATATATATATATATATATATATATATATATATATATATATATATATATATATATATAGTATATATATATATATATATATATATATATATATATATATATATATTTATATATATATTGGCACATCACTAATATATACATATATATTAGTGATGTACCAATTAATTGGCATCGGCTTAATCGGCCACTTTATGTTCAATCGGTATCAGCATCGGCCTTTTTTATTGATTTTCTAACAGATGGCATTTTAATATTTTTATTGTGCATTATTATAATACTTATACAAATAAACTAAACTTTATGTATCACTTAAAATTTTTTAGATGAATTTTTATTTTGACTTTGTTTACAGCCAAAAGCTTTTAAAATTAACCTATTTAAGCATTGTTTTCTATATTTTTTAAATTCTTTCTTACTCCTAACAAAGCTGCAAGCAAACACTATCAAATTGGGAGTTGCTAGAAAAAAAGAATAGAGTTATAGAGCAAGGAAACGTTGACAGAAGACTTAAAGGTTGTTAAAAGTTGTATGAGTCAGGAAAACATGAAGATAAGTCAGAGTTCCGAAGGATTGAAGTGCTTGGAAATAAGCTAGAAAAATAAAAGTTTTTAGAGCATAAAAAGACAGATACAGTAAAAGAATTTTTGATGAATGATGAGTCAGGTGAGAATGAGTTGGTTGATGGAACTAGAGATAAAAGATCCTTTGAGCAGCAACCATGATAGTATTTGTAGGAAAGAGAAAGAGATACAACTTTACAACAATAAGAATGAGGTTCAAGTTTAGCAGATAGACCGGGTTTAACTCTGTTTAATAATTAGTTAATTCATCTGTATCGGTATCGGCCTTTTCCCATCCATCAGTATCGACATTGACCAAAAAAGTGATATCTGGACATTACTTATATATACATATATATATGTGTGTGTGTGTGTATATGTATAAATTTCTATATGTGTGTGTTTATATATATATAAATTTCTATGTGTGTGTTTATATATATATATATATATATATATATATATATATATATATATATATATATATATATATATATATATATATATATATATATATATATATATATAATTTCCTTATAAATATTGTTAGGTAATATTGTTATTGTTAAGGTTTAAATTATTTATAGATTTAAATTAATAAGTTTTTAAATATTTATAACAGTTATTCTCTCACAGTTTTAAGCTAAGCAAAGAAACAAAAGGGAAATCCTAATGAATTAATTAAATGCATAATAAGTACTAAATACTGTTTATACTTTTTTTTTAAATGGTTATTTGCCTCCCTCCTTTTTTTAAAATGGTTTTTTGCCAGCATTTACTGCTTATGAGATGTGTTACTATCACTGCACCACTACAGCATAAACTTAAAGTGATCTTAAAGGTTGACAAGTTGTGTTTAATAAAATTTTGCACCACTGCCTCATATGTAATGAAGTGTGTTTTCAATTTTAAAATATATTTAAAATTTTGTTTTTCAAGATTGCTGCAAAGCTGCAACAACAACAATCATCTGGAACTCCTCTTGATAACTATTTGGAGTATGGTAAGTTATCAGTGTTCAAAACTTTTTCTTGTCTTTCTTTTGCTAATGTTTTAAAATCTTTTATAACAAATGTACACTATATTAAACTAATATTAAATTATAAGGAATCTTAAACTCAAAATGCACTTTTATTCTGATATATATACACATCAGTAAAAATAGGGATTTTAACTATAAAATTTTTTTTAAGTATAGTAGTTCCATTTTGTTAAACTAAACTAAAAAAAATTGAGAAATTTAAATGTTTTATATAGTTATTAAACATGTAGTTTTAAACACAGTGTCTTTGTAAGCGCAATAAAGTTTCCCATATATTCTTGCAAAACTTTTATTCAATTAAATTATACAAATCTATTTTTTTTTTATAGAATCTTGATAAAAATTATAATTTAATAACATGAAATAAGCATTAAAATGTATAGCAATAAAAAATTCAGATAAAGTATCTGAATTTTTTATTTCTTTTTTAATATGAATACTACAAGTAACTAAATAATTTTTTTAAAAACATAAAAATAACTAAAGAATATCTAGATTTCTTGTCACATGCAATAATAAATAATAAAATATAATAAATCTCTTAACCCTTCATTGATCAAGTATTAAACCCTTCATTGATCAAGTATTAAGCTTATTTTAAAAATTATTTAAACGGTTTATAATTAAAACTATTAAATTATTTTTTTCCTAAAAATTGTAACACCTAAATTAAAATTGTTACCATTCGGCAACATTCTACAACAAAGGTAATGATAAAGGTAAAGGACAAAGGTTTGTATATATTTTTTAAATAGAATAAAAAACTACACATAGCGCTTAATAAATATAACTCTTCTACAACTATATTTTTTCAATATTTAAGAGATCCCCAAGTACCAAGACAAGTTGTGTTTATATCATAGATAAACATTAAAAAATAAGTTACAAGTTTATTAAACTTTCCAAAACTAATTATTAAATGAGATATTAACAAGAAACTTCAATGAGTCGGAATGTTCTGGCTCTTTGACTATTTTTATTTTTTAAATCTGGTCTGATTAATGCACTTATTTGTCATCGATAAAAAAAAAAGTTTTTTTCAAAAAAACAAGTTTAAAATGCTTTCAACAGGCTTTCACTTTTGGCGGTTAAACAAAAATATAAGGTTCAAGTTTTTAACATCAATTTTATACATATCTGAAAAATATATATTAATCGTTTTAAAAACGGTTTCTTGAATATAAATTATTATAAACAAGTTAAATATATGTATAAAACTATTTGTATTATTATTATATATATTATTAGTATTAAACTATTTAAAAATTAAATGCACTTTTTTTGATTAGACTTTCAAAAAACAATGTAAAAAAAAAAAAACCTAAAAAGAGAACCCAAGTTTAAACAAGGGCACCTTTAGATAAAACTTTGACTCTAAAGTTCTTACTTTTGAAAGTTCTGGAAATAGTTTTTTTCTGCCTGTCAACATAAAAGTAATAGGCACATGGTACAATATTCTCGACTGTAACCCATTAACTATTACTTGCAAAAATTTTTGTTTTATGGTTTTTCTGGCCATTCTGTATTTGGTTTTTCTGGCCAATTATTTAACAAATAATTGCATACATCACTAATTAGCAAAGGCGCTAAAGCTTTAGAACTGTGCTTAAATAAAGGTTTATTTTTTAACTTTATGATGATCCTCCAACTGGTTGAGTGCTCAAGGCTTTTCTTGACATTGTAGGTACATAATCAATATTGCTTGCTGACTTACTCTGCTTCTTTTCATTGCATCTCATCATCTTTATCATCATTGCTATCATTATCAACATCACTATTACCATCATGACAGCACAGAAAATAACGGCTGGTCAACAGTCGATGACCACCTAGTAATGACTTAAATTGCACTTTTTTTCTTTCTAATATCAAATTGTAATAAAATTATCAAAGATCAACCTATCTTAATGAAGGCAAATAAAGAGACAAACAAAACTTGTAATTTTCAGCATTTCATAAAACAATTTCTTTTAGTATTAAGTATTCAGTTTGAATTTTTTTATTTTTTTTTATAAAATTTGTTTTCATATTCAAATATTAATATTTACTGATAATTTGAACATTAGTCACGTGTGAGTTAAAATTTAAAAAATCTATTGATTTTTTTTTAAGTTATAACTTTAATTATTTAATAAGAATAAGCAGTGTTTCCATTACCCGGCTAAAAATATTTACCCAGGTAATGGGTAATTTTCAATTTACCTATTTTTTCAATGAGATGTTGCAGCAGCCATTAAATAACCTATGGGGTGTAAATTTCGATTTTTTTTTAGTTTTTTGTACCAATCTATTTCTTATTTTCCTGGCGAGATTTCTAATTTTACCTCTTTGCGAACTTCACAAATTCTTCATAGCATTTTAATAATGCTATTCCATCTCGTTAAAAAATCTAAAAATGAAGCTATCCAAAGGACTGGATATTTTAAGGTTGAAGGTTGTCATCATTTCTGAATGGGGACTTTCTGCAGACTTTAACAATTTTACGAATTTTACCAACAATGGCACCAATACCAGAAATTAAGTTTGTCTCAGTGCCTTATTCATCACATGCCTCTATTATTTTTTCTTAATTCTCTTCCTCTTCAGTTTTAAATAAACTAAATCATGGTTTATCTTATAAGGCTTCTAAAGTATATTGCAAACAGAAAGATAGACTACATGTGCAAGACAGCCATTATGAATGGGGCTGGTCTTTTTACCAAATTTTATCATAGCACTCGCACCATCAGCGATTGTTGTTACAATGTTTTCCAAATCTAATTGGAATTCAGACAAAAAGTTGAATAGCTTTTTTCAGTGTTCATCCTTCTGTTGACACGTATCATTCCTAGAGATTGAAAGCCTTCTAAACTATGTAAGTTCAGATTCATAAAACAATGGTTTCTGACTGAAGTGGATTTGTCAAAGCTTATAGAAAAAAAACGTCCTTCTTCTTGAATTTTTTGAATGTATTGCTTAATTATCGTGATAATTTTACCATATTTTGTCATAAATTGATCTATAATATTTTGAGGGCTTTTTGAATTATATTTTGAATTTATGAATTATATTTTTAAAATTACCCGAGTAATTTTTCAAAATTACCCAGTTAACGGGTAAGAAAAAACTTGAAAATAACCTGGGTAACGGTTAAGGTAATACGCAGGTAAGAAACACTGAGAATAATTTTCAAACATAAAGTTATTTTTGTGTCTATAAGTTTTGCCATGAAGAACTATTACTTATATAAATATTTAAATATAAAAAAATAAAATGTGCTAGCCGGTCAAATTGCTTATTTTCCACTCTGTGATAATGATTATCACTATTATCATCTATCAGATGTGATTTTATGTGGAAAGAGGTGTTATACCCCCTTTCACCAAAGTAGGCGATGTCTAAGTTATAGTCAGTTTTTTTAGGAATATAGTTGCATAGTCTTGTATTAAATGCTTTTATAGCTCCTCCCCCTCATTATATTTCTAATTTTGTCAGTCATTATTATCATTATCGTTGTCATCATCATTATCATCATTATCATCAAGCTAATATAATGAGGTAATAATAGTAACACTCTAAATAACATATAAACAATAAATTATATGATCAAAATATACTGATGCTAATGTTAAATATTGCCAAACAGCAACAATTATATTTGCCTTTGTGTTATCTTATTTCACCTATATATGCAGAGTGTAGAACAGTTTTAATTGATTATCAAGTAGGTGAAGCTAAATGTTACCCAAAAGAATGGTAAATATACCCATTTTCCATTAGTACAAAAGTCGTAACATTTTTTTTTAGTATCAACAACAAAGCTGCGTTTGTAATGATATCATTAAATTGATGTTAAACCTAACAAGAATCAATTAAAAGATTTTGTTGCCATATAGCAACAGTTAACAATAAAGGGTTAAAAATCAAACGCTTTATAAATAAGTTATTTAGGCATCTGTAAAAAAGTTGTTTTTGTTTATTTATTAGCTTGTTGGCTTCATTTTTTAGTATTCTGAGTGTGTTTTTAAATTCTGCTTCAAAAAAACATACTAAATCTTACTAAATAATTTTATCTCTCTTACTTTATTAAGAAATGATTTAAAAAATTGTTTCTAAATCTTGGACATATTTACATTTTTATAATTATTATAAATTGTTGCATTTAAATATACAATTATTATAAGCAAGTGTTAAAATTCTTTCTAATGTTTTAAAATTTTTTCAAAATTTTAAATTCAAGATTATTTGAATAAGAATTATTTGACTTTATTCAAACAGAATTCTTTTTAAAATGAATTCCTGAAAACAATCTGTTTATTTATACAAAATGTTTGATCTTGCATTAAATAAAATGAATATAAATTGAAAATAATATTGCGTTTTTCATATTCTACTCAAAATTTCTTGTTAAAATGATTTTTAGTTAGAGGTTTATATGTTGACAACATAAAATATAAATAGATATATGGCTGACTTTAACAAGTAAATGTCTTTAAGCATATTAAGTATATTTAATAGTTGAGTAATTTAACTTTAGTTGAGTAATTTAATTTTAGTAATATAAGGAACCTTTATATAACCTTTAATTACTTTATAAGGGTAAATTTACTCTTATGTACTTTATCCATTAGATAAATCACTAAATTTAGCTTAAAAATTGATTTTGATTGGCTTCCCAATAATATATGAAGTATAAAAAATAAATAAAATTTAAAAGTGCTTTACGTTCCAATGAAAATCTCTGTGCAGGAGAGTAAATGATCATACTTTTATTTAAAAGTTTAGCATGATATAGTGTATATATATATATGATATATGATATAGATAACTTCTATTAAAAACCTCAAGACAAAAACATTCTATGTTTTATAGAAAAGCCAAAATAAATTTTTAAATCAATCACTTTAGTGCGAAAAGCAATTACAATACCTTTAATTCAAGCCCTGATTTGGTCAGAAAATATTCTTTTTGATTTTTTTGCCCATCAGGTCAGGCTATTTTTAAATTAAAGCGTACACTTTTTGAACCACAAGTATCACCTAGTAATGCATGTTGTTTAAGTTTTTTTATTTGTATAAACACATTTGATTTAAGTAGTAACAAGCTTTTATTTGCTTTTATTTTTATTTTACTTTTTTTTCTTACCTTCAATTTTGGCATATAATAATAAGTATTTTTATCTTGTATTTTTTATCTGGATTAACATCTTACTGTTTTATACTGTTTTTAAACATAATAGTTGTTTTTTCTGCAAAAGTTTTTGTAAACTGGTAAATTTGAGTTAATTTGCTCCTTGATCGTCAATATAACAATTTGTAACAGTTTTAATTTTGTTAATGACAATAATTTTTTTAAATCTGTTTCATATTTATAGCAAATAAACATTAACTTTTTAGATGACTCTCGAAAAAGAAGCTATCAAGATTTTGGTATGTTTGGTAGTTTTGTATATATATATATATATGTATATATATATATATATATATATATATATATATATATATATATATATATATATATATATATATATACATATATATATATATATATATATATATATATATATATATATATATATATATATATATATATATATATATATATATATATATTTGTATATATGTATAAATATATATATTTGTATATATGTATAAATATATATATTTGTATATATGTGTGTATATATATATATATATATATATTTGTATATATGTGTATATATATATATATATATATATATATATATATTTGTATATATGTGTACATATATATATATTTGTATATATGTGTATATATATATATTTGTATATATGTGTATATATATATATATATTTGTATATATGTGTATATATATATATTTGTATATATGTGTATATATATATATATATTTGTATATATGTGTATATATATATATATATTTGTATATATGTTTATATATATATATATATATATTTGTATATATGTGTATATATATATATATTTGTATATATGTGTATATATATATATTTGTATATATGTGTATATATATATATATTTGTATATATGTGTATATATATATTTGTATATATGTGTATATATATATATATTTGTATATATGTGTATATATATATATTTGTATATATGTGTGTATATATATATATATTTGTATAAATGTGTATATATATATATATGTATATTTGTATATATGTGTATATATATCAGTGTTTATATATGTGTATATATATCAGTGTTTATATATGTGTATATATATCAGTGTTTATATGTGTGTATATCAGGGGCTATTCTAAACAGTTTTCGATAGTGTCAACTGTATTTGGGCGCCGCCCAAATTAAAATATGAGGACTTTTTTTTACTAGTTTTTGTACTGCTGTCTAAATTTTTTTTATATGCTGTTTATTATACCCTTGGGGTATTTGCAAATGTATATATATATTGAGTAAAGATATTCAGAAAGACAGTAAGAAAAAACAAATATGTTTATTATTACACTATGATAGGCCCTTAGATAATTTATGTAATTTTTAAAAAACTTATAGAAAACCATATGTTGGTGGTTTTCTAAAAGTTATTTAAAAGAAGGCTGTCTGTGTTTTAAAAAGTGATTTTTTATTATTTTAGTTTATTTTTCATTTTCTCTTTAGTTTAATTCATTTTTAGGACACTTGTTTTGTCAGACAAGCTTTTTAAAACACTTATTTGGTCAGACAGTGTTTTAAAAATGCTTTGAAAAAACTAAGCTGAATTAAACTAAAGAGAAAACGAAAAATAGATTAAAATAATAAAAAATCACTTATTTTTTACGTCTATAGGAATCACATATTAATAAAAAATCACTTTTTTTTTTTCCGAAAGAGAAAATGAAAAATAAACTGAAATAATAAAAAATCACTATATATATATATATATATATATATATATATATATATATATATATATATATATATATATATATATATATATATGCGGTAGTGGTGTAGTGGTAGAGCGCTCGCTTCATAAACGAGTGGTTCTGAGTTCGATCCCCACCACGTCCCTGGTAGTACCGCGCTCAACTCGTTTCTCCGCGCAGCGGCCTTGTTCGTCAAGGTTCGCGTTTCGGAGTTATAGAGTTGAGAGAGGGTTATAGCCGCATAATAAGTAGCCTCCTCGTCTGTAGTGGCCTTCTCGGCCTTGAGGAGGTGAAGTAAAATAAAAAAAAAAAAAATATATATATATATATATATATATATATATATATATATATATATATATATATATATATATATATATATCAACATTTGACACGTTTTGTCTATACTAAACAAATAAAAAACATTATAACGAAACATTTAAAAAAGATTATAAAATATGCTAATATTTGATTTTTTTCTTTTCTCAAATATATAATTTAAAGTTTTTCTAATAATTGTTTTTTTCTTTTTAAAAAGTCAACAAGTAATAAACTGGAAATTTTAATATTGTACGATTAAAAACTGTGCAATAGCTAATATTTTTACTAGCGATTTTATATAATATTTTTTTTATTTTTATTTATTTTCATAAAGCGCTTGATAAGCACAATCACTCGTATTACTAAAAAACTTTAACGAACGTTTTGAATAGATTTTTAATGTTTACAAGGAATTTTATTTTTAGTAAAATAAAATAAAATAAAATGTTAGAATAAAAATATTATAGGTATAAAAGACATATTTTGGCGAAAAAATTATTCTTAAAAATTATTCGAAAAATTATTGACGTTCTGTTTTTCTGCAGCTGATCTTGAGCACGCTTCGTTGAGTTTTGGTAACTTTTAACAAAAAAGCGATTGTTATTATTTAAGTAATTTTTTTCGAGTTACTTTTTACAAAAATTTTAATAGCTGTACTTTTTTTTATTGAATTAAGTAGAATACGTTTTAATATTATTCCTTTTTTTATTTTTTTTATTTGCGCTTATTAATTTTAAAAATGTTTCCTCAAAATTACTCTTAAATACTTTAAATACCTCTAACAGTTAATAAATATTTTTAAATCTATGGAATAATTTAAAACCTAACAGATCCCCGTAAAATAATTATTTACGTTAAATATCTAAAACTAAAAGAAAGTATTTTTTGTTCAATTTTATCGACAACTTTGCTATTGCTGAATAATTTTATTAAAATGTTACCTTAAAAAGATTTAAACTTTTTTTTTTATCTGAATTTTTTCTACTTGTAAATAATGAGCATATTTAATTTTTTTGTAAATCAAACTTTTGTATCAACTGCGAGCAGTTTTTAAAATACTTTATTAAATGTTAAAATAATTGTAAATTACTTCATTAAAATTTTGTCAAAAATATATCTAAATATACTTAAAGAAAAAATTTTTGGCTCGACGCAAATAGCCCTAGCTACACGCAAAATCGCTCTCGGACGACGTAAAATTCACATCGCCCGACGCTTTATCGCAAGCTATATATATATATATATATATATATATATATCGCAATATATATATATATATATATATATATATATATATATATATATATATATACATACATACATACATACATACATACATACATACATACATACATACATACATACATACATACATATATATACATACATACATATATATATATATATATATATATATATATATATATATATATTTATATTTATATTTATATAAACACTACCATCCATAATTATTCAAATAGTTGTACTTTTCAATATATCAAAGTTTTACTTACTATTTGGAGAAAATCCAAAAACAAAATCTACCTGAATTATATTAGGGTGGCCACTGGTCATGGTAACCAACGGAAATGTCATGGAATTCCTAAAGTTTCATTTAAAGTCATGAAAAGCTAACTTTTTAAAATGATCTTTATTTTTTTCTGCTTGTGATATTTTGCAATAAATGCAAATAAAAGTACAAGTATGCCTACGGATGCAAATAAAAGTGTAAGTATGCCTAGTAAAGTCCTTTTTGAAAATATATTTTTGCAGTATAAATTATAGATTATCAGAGAAGTAAAAGAAAAAAGTTTTTTTTTCAGACATGGTTTTAGAAGTTTCTACCAAATGCCTAGTGCATGGCCAGTACTGAATACTTTACTGATTAGTGGTTTATCATAAAAGGTTATGAAGAGTCATGGAAAAGTCATCGGATTTCATTTTATAATTTGATTGGCCACCTTGTATATGTTGTCTTCATATTTATTAGGTTTACAAAAATTTTAATATTAAGTCCCATTAGATTAGTTTGTCTATTAATCACCCTTAGCAACAATAACCACCATACATATTCTTGGCATTCTACTTAACTATTATCCAATTTGTCAAAGTCAATTTTGTGCCACTAACTAATAAGTTTTTCCACATCTTATGTATTATTTGATATTTGATATTTTTTATATTTTATTCCTCTCATAAAAATCCTGTGATTAAGGAGGCTAAATCATTTTATTCGATATTTTATCATTCTCGACCTCAGTCAAATAACTTATACAATGTTGTGAAGATTATGTTATAAATCAGAGCTTTCAGTCATTTTCTTCTAAAAAAAAATAAATGGTTTCCCATTAACCCAAAATTCAAAGGTATAGCATGACTTCCAAGTAAGCTACATTTGTTACGACTCCCTCTATTTTTACAATGTCACCTGTGACGATCCAACCAAAACAGCCCCACAACTTAACACTACATCTATGATGTTTTACAGTCCATAATACTACTTTATACTTTACACTACTTTATACTTTAAACAAAATTTTTATACTTTATACTTTATATTTTACACTTATACTTTATACTTTATACTTACACTAAAATTTTATACTTTATACTTTACACTACTTTATACTTTACACTACCTATACTTTTAACAAAATTTACTACACACTACTTTATACTTTAAACAAAATTTTTTTTCAGACTAACAATCTTGAAACCAAAAATTTAAAACTTCGGCACATTAGTTCATATTTAAAGGCATTGATAATCCTTTTTTTTTATATATATAGTTTTAATTTAAGTGTTTTTTATATAAATAAATATATAAATTAAGAAAAATTAACAAGCAAATGTTTGATTTACCTCCTAATAAATTTTTAACAAACAAATGTTTGGAAACCAACTTAAAGTTTGACCTCTTGACCTTTGAAAAGAGCAAAGTCTTCTAGAGTCATCATCGTCTTCTAATTTGTATATAGCTATAAAAGTTACTTTCTTAATTCAATAAGTTATTAAATAAATATTTTCAATCTTATTACTAATTAAGCTGATGAAAACTTTTCCATCTTATTACTGATTAGGGAGGTATTAACAGATTATTAAGACTCGAGAGTACCTCATTGTGTGAGTTCAAAAGTATAAAGATAAAGAGCATGCTAAATCCTATTTATAATAAAACTAAAAACCCAAGCATGGTAAAGACTCAGCCAAGTACGGTAAAAAAGTCAGTGTAAACTCGCACGAATGGGCAGCAGCAGCGTTAAATTAAGCAATAATATAAAGCCCACTTTTTTACTATTCTTATGATTTTTATCTTAGCATTTTAATCAAAATACTTTTGTGTTTTTTAAATTATTTAGTAGTAAAAATAAACATGAAAAAATGTTTAAAAATAGCGTTAAAAAAAAAGTTAAAGTCATTCCAATAATTATGATCAGCATTGAGTGTGTATGTATATGTTTGTATGTGTGTCTATATATGTGTGTATATATATATGTATATATATATATATATATATATATATATATATATATATATATATATATATATATATATATATATATATATATATATATATATATATATATATATATATATATAAATTTGTTTTACAACAGCACCATCTGAGCCTTTTCCAAAGCGAATGACAATAGAAGGAGGTATTTTTAAACAAAGTTCTAATGCTTTTTCATGTTATTTGTGACATTTTTTATATTTTTGAATTTAATTATTTATATATATTTTTCAGCTGTAGACCACTCTGACCCTAAAATTATAGCACAGCAAGTTGCAAACAGTCTTGTACAAAGGTAGATATTACATATTTTATTCTATACGTTTTTAATATTACTTTTACTGTAATATTTTTGTTTTGTTTAGAGCTGGTATAGGCTCCATGTTAGTTGAAGATGTTTCTATTCCAAATAAACTCGTTGGTTTAGGTATATTTTTAACATGCTTGGAAAAAATTTGTTTATTTAAGTGTTGTTCTAATTACAAGATTTGTTTTTGGTATTATTATTATTATTAGTAGTAGTAGTAGTAGTAGTAGTAGTAGTAGTAGTAGTAGTATTGAGTGACTTCTTAAATTGTCTTTTTAGGAGTATAAAGCCTTATGTTAATTTTTTTTACGAAACAGAGCTTAAACGTTTTTGATTATTTATTTTATTTATTTTCTAGTCATCGGTCGCGGAGGGGAAATGATAAATAGATTACAATCTGATTCTGGCGCTAAAATACAAGTTGCTCCAGGTAAAATAGTGCGTTCTACTATTTCATTTTCCCAACTTTATCTACTTCTCATAAATTTTTGTTTAAAGTACTGCATAATGACCATATTTTATATTTTTCAAAGTAAAAGAGGGCTTTCTTTTACAAATAATGTGTCATTTTTCTGGTCACAGTGCTTGATATCATCACCATTCTGGCTACCTAGCATTGTTTTCAATATTCAATTAATTTGACCTGTTCTTTTAAATATTTGATCAAGTTCTTAAAGTGCATATAAACTCTATTGTCTGTTCTATTCTTTTTATATTTTTTATTCTTTGTTTATATAATTTATTCTATAATATACATAATTAAAATTACAAATAACTTACTATTTATTACTTTATTTGTATAAAGTAATAAATAGTAGGTTATTTGTAATTTTAATTCTGTATATTAATTATTAAATAGTTGATTATTTTGAAAAGTATTCTCTAATTGTATATTTATAATTGTAATTTAAAGATCCACCACCAAACATGATGGATATTGATCGTCAAATAACTATAACTGGTTCCAGCGAAGCTGTGAGGTAAATTTAATTTTTATTGCCTAATGAAGTATTTCAAAAAAATGTTTTCATTAACATTTTTAATTTAGCTAGATATTTAAGTCATTCAGGATTCTCTGTTTTCAGAATTTGTGTTATATATAAATTTTTCTACTAAATTTTAGTAAAGCTAAACAGCTAATCGAACAAATAAGAAATGAGGGAAAAGTACCAGAAAGATTGGTAAGTAAAATTCTAAATTTTATTATAAATATACTGTTTTTTTATTTAAATATGTTTTTTTATTCTTTTAACTCTAAAACTTAGTGAAAATCATTTACAAAAACTGTTAAATTTTAAGTAATTAATTGCGTTTGAGTGTCTCCATAGCAGTTTAGTTAATTTACTGTCTGCTAAGTTTATAAAATAATAATAGATAATGAATATAATTAAATAGTTTAGATGACAATTGTGAAAAATAAAATTGCTCAAAATGTTTGCTTTTGATTTTGTAAATGCTCATGTAAATTATGCTCACTCCATAAAGTTTGTTCAGTATCAATTGAACATCTTCTTATACTCAAACCTCCTATCTCATAAGAAAAAAACTAATATAAAATATAAAAGGGTCAATATGTTTTTTAATTTTTTGTTGGTCAAAAAAATCTTCTCTGTTAAATATGTTTTCGTTTCATATTGAAAAATTTTTTTTAGTACCATTTAATATTTATTTTTGTTAAAATGTTTTATTTTAAGTAAAGATTTAATGGTTTCTTTAGGTGCTAAGGATTTTTGAATGAAGCGAAATTATATAAAAATTTCAAAAATAATATTTATTTTGAAAAAAAATTGTTATTTTTGGTTTTATTACATAAAATATTGCGTTTCTTAACAAAAAATGAAAAAAATGCATGTTTTTATGATAATTTTAATAAATAACTTGAAAATTTTTTGAATTGAATTCAATTTTTGAAATTTTTAATATAATTTTGCTTTATTTGAGTACCAGGTTGACATATTTTCAAAAAACTTTTTAAAAATATTAGGAATCCATTAAATATTTAAGTGTCTTTGGGGACGCCTTAAAATATTTTTTTATTCTCAATTTTTATTCTCAGTTTTTCTCTTTTTATACTCAAAAAAAAATGTAAACATAATGTTTTTGTATTAGAACACATTTAGAGGGTAGGAGGTTTTTCTCTAAAAAGTTGTTTTATGAGCCACCCTAGTATGTAGATATTCCATCTTGTTTAGAATATGTATATTGTCCAATTTAGAAAAACTGAGGCTAAGTTCCTAAAACTTTTTGGGCCCCCAATAAATTATATGAATTTATATACATTTTTAAAAAATCATTTTCATATTTAAATTTAATACATTTTTTATTTGTGTTAAACTAAAAAAAATTCATAGATTAAAAATTGTACAGAAATATCACAATTATGTTTAATAGAACTATTTTTATTATTATTTCACAATAAAACTTGTCTTAATATATTAATATATACCAGCTTGATCAGAAACAGGTGGAATATAATATTAAGTTGTGACAACTTGGCCAGGGCTTTTTAGATGTTTTGAAAAATAAACATTTCAAAATTCACAAAACTTAACTAAAGCAATATAAATTACATTTAGAATTAATAATTTCTAAACCTCTCTCATAATTTTTTTATAATGTTAAGTGACTCTCTTTTTTATAAAGTAACAACTTACTATTAATGATCTATTAATAAGGAAACAAGCGTTCTTCAATTTATCATAGAGTATAATATAATTGTTTATTTATGTATATATGCATTATTTTAATGAGAATCTAATAAAGCTAACCCTAGTTGAATTATATAATGAATAAAAAAGTAAATATTTTATAACCATTTCACGTTTTGCATAGTTTGCAAAATAAAATATTTGAAACAATTTTTCTCAAGTAGTTTAACAACAACAATAACAAATTAAATTGTTGAGTTACTATCGAAATATTATAAAGATCTTTTTTTTTAAGCATAATGATCAGTATCCAAACTGCAGGCTAAGTATACATTTAATAGCATTAAATTTTACTTCAGCCTATCAGTTTATTATAATATAAATATTATATTATAATAAACTATATTCCATTCTAAGTGAATCATAATTTTATTTTGAATTTTGCAAACTAAAAGCAAATTTTTATTGCATCAAATTATTTAGAAGCAAAATTAGACTAAAAAATAAAAATAATTCCTTAAGACGAAGCGGAACTGCTTCACAATATTGCAATGATATTTTGTAAGTGGTTTTTTTAAATATATTTGTATGTTTGTGTTCTGTATGGATTTATGGCACGGTGCTGGTTCACCCGTCAGTCACTTTATATAAATGTATTTTTGTGCTTTGTTTGAACCTCTAGCCCTGTGTTCATCCACTCGTAATTTACAATGTTAAAATATATGTATATATTAGGTCGCCTGTAAGTTCCTGTATTTTAATTTGGCTATTAGTTTTATTAAGTTTAATGATAATTATTTTTCTACTTTCATTAAAGCTTGATATATCAATCAAATCAAATAAGATTTTAAAATTTGGAAGCAACCAATTTAGGAGGTCCCAAATCTATGGGGGCCATAAGACATGGCCTAGTCTGGTCTATTGGTTAATCCAGCACTAAATATGCATCAAACTTTTTTTTATAAATGTTTATTTAAGATAGAGGACATAGTCGTCATGACATTTTTGTCATGGTGAAATCCACTTGGGTATTGCTATAGTTTTATCCCCAGAAGTTTTTCAAATTTTGTATGTTTCTACATCAATACATCAAGCAATAAAATAGTATGCACTATAGAAATAGCACACCATTCAGTGAAAAATTTACTGATTATGTTTCATGCATTTTCATAAAATAAAATTTTTATTTCCTGACTCGTAATATTAAATAAAATATTTTTTCAATAATTTCTCATGTTAACTTCTTTTATATTTTGTTTATTTTATATTGTCTTTTAAAATTAAATTTTAATGGGTGCTGATAATCTGAATACAAGTAATGAGCTCATGCATGTTCAGCTTATTACCTAATTTAAGCTCCTTATTAACATGTAAGTTTTGCCTCTAGGTATTGACGCTACCATGTTTGGCAGTCAACTGGTAAATGTAAAGTAGAATATTTTTGAATTGTTAATTTGAAAATAAATTTTGTTGCAAATAAAAATAACCTGTAGGTTAAATTGTTAATCAATATTGCTGAATAGTAAATGAAGTTAAAGTATTAATTGATAAATTTTTCACTTGATAAAAAAAATTTAATATTAAATTTTAATAAAATCTGCAATTTTTTTTTATATATTCACAAAATTTAAAAATGTTGTAAATAAAGAGAAATATTATTGTTGATGTGGTTGTCTAGTTTTACTCTTAAAATTTTTATTATATTTAATGTTAAACGTTTTTGTAGCTCTCAAATTAAATAAAGCAAATCATTAATTTTACAAAAAAGTTAGTGATTTCCCTATGTTTTGCAAGTAATTCAGTAGTCTCAGGCTTGGTCGGGAAGTGGGAGTGATTGCTCTCGATTGCTGACCGCGTAAATAATATTTAGTTGCAAACATTTTTAAAAGCAAAAAAAAAAAAAAGCGCAAAAGATTAATTGGACCGATGAAAGACAATTACAACAAAAAAAAAAAAAAAATTTGGCAAATAAAATATCTTCAGACACGAAAAAACTTAAAGCTAAATAAATTGCGTTTAGAACAAATATTTTAAAACATCACTCTTTTATAATTTTTTTTATAAAATTATGCGATGTTTTTTATATTAAGTAACAACATACGATTGTTTAAAAAGGAAACAAATGCTCTTTATTTAGCAAAGTTTGCAAGTTTTAGTTTTATTTAAGCTAAATTATTTCATAAATAAAAAAGTTAATTTTTTCAATACCTATTTTATGTTTCGCGTAGTTTGAAAGGTTTAACATATTTAAAGCAATTCTTCTTAGTAAGATAAACAAATGAAATAATTAAATCATTGAGTTACTATAGAAATTAAATTAACAAGATAGAAATCAACTAAAAAGGTTAAAAATACTTTATGACGAGGAAGCGAAACTGCTTCACAATATCGCTGATGATGTTTAGTGAGTGGGGTTTTTAATTTTAATTAGTATTTAAAGCAGAAAAAAGTATAACAAGTTACAAGAATGGCAACTTAGACAAGAATAATTAGAGTTAGTAAACCAATATCTAGTAACTTTTCTTTATATCTAATTATTTGCTATATATATATATATATATGTGTGTGTTCTGTCGTGACCACAGGCGCTGTGCTTGTTCATCTGCAAGTTACTTTGTAAGCGTTGTTTGTGTTTAGTAACCAGAAACTTCTTATATGTTTGTTACATAATTAATTTTATTAACTATAACGATTATAACTTAATTGAAAATGCAATTATTTTTGTAAGTCTTTGTTTAAATCATAAAAATTGCTTTAAAAGATACATTACGATAAAAAACAGGTACACAAAATTACATTTACATAAAGAATGCATACTTTTTAAATAAAAAATAAGAATATACTAATAAAATCTATAATTTATAATAAACTTTTGAAATTTTGACAATTTAATATATATTTAAAATATTTATTTTTGTAAACAAATAATATATATTTTTAAAACAAGAAAACTAGAAATCTCAAAACGTTACATTAACAAGAAAACTAGAAATCTCAAATCGTGAATAATACAATTTCTAAAACATTTCAACAGAATACTCTAGAACTTTATTTCGCTAAGTCAGCGTATTTTTTGAACCAATAGAATTAGTTTCTATGTTAATTTGGTGGGTTTTTAGTGTTCGCAAATATTCTTTTTATTCTTTCGCACAAAGATGTTTTAAGAACATTCAAGTTTATTATGTTTCCATGTATGTCCGTAAAACAAAAATTTTTTGTTTCGTACATAAACTTAAATGTTCTCAAAACGACTTTAAAACCTGGCCAGTTTTTCGCTACTAAATTTTTTTTTCCGTGCTCAGTATTTGAGAGGGATTGCTCTCGCTTCCTGACAAAGCCTGTAGTGTATTTTAGTTAGAACAGATAATTTTTATGTTACTTTATATGTATATATGTGATATATATATATATATATATATATATATACATACATACATACATACATACATACATACATACATACATATAAAGATATTTAATAATCGATTTCCAAGTATATTCCAAGTTCTTAAATCTTTATTCAAATCTTATTTCTCGACGAAAAAGACTTTTATATTCTTTTTCTATCAGAAGAAAAATAATATTGAATTCAGGATATGTTTATTGAAGTTCATTTTATGTTCAGCTCATTATGTTTAAGCTTGTTTATTATTTAGATGCTTGCTGCAAATTTGCCTGGAGAGTTTTCAATTGAAATGAAAATTGCTGCTGGTAAAGTGGGACTTGTAATCGGTAAGTAAAGCTTAATTGATTAAATTTAATAAACTAATATTTAAATTTGTATTTATTTGTATTTTATATTTTATATGTTAATAGTTTTTTTTTAATTGATATAATTTTATTCATTTATTCAGGATATAATTTTTATTTAAATAGCATTTTCATCTTCTACCTTTTTGCTTACAATTTTCGGTTATTTTAAAAATCAACTAAATCTGATCAATTGAGTTGATCAAATCAAATTTTATTTAAATTTTATCACAAATCGAGTTTATTTGAATTGTTTTTTCAGGAAAAGGTGGTGAAACAATAAAGTCTCTTCAGGTTTGTTTAAACTGTTGTTTGTTTTGTATTTTTTATATAACAATATTTTTATTTGTTAGTTTATTTTTATATAACAATATATTTTTATGAACCTTTTTCTTTTCTTTACGACAGGAAAGAGCAGGCTGTAAAATGATTCTCTTTCAAGATGGTGAATATGCGCAGGCTGCAGAAAAACCACTCAAGATAAGCGGAGAACAATCTAAAGTTTTAGTAAGCAAATAATTTTGTTATCACAGAATATAGAATATTAAGTAATAAAAAACATTTATAAAGTTATTTTGTAAATTTAATAAATTAAATAACTTGTACAATATTTAGATAAATCACAATTAAAAAGATTTTTAAAAAAACCTCAAGGGTAGTTTTATAAATAATTATTTGTTATAGGGTTGGTAAGTAAGTTCATTGTGTTGGTCTGTACATAAAGAAGTCTAGTTTTAAAAGTCACTAAAATAAATGACTATTTTAGAGTAACAAAATAAATAATTAGTTGGGGTTTTCTATGCTTAGGAGCTTTAAAAAAGGTTAAGGGACTTATGGCCTATTTAGCAAAAAACTATTTAAATATTGAAAATACAGAAATAGTTTTTAACCTTGAGCTCTTATTTAAAGTAAAGTATAATAAGTTTCAAGGCTTAAAAACTCAAATTTTTTATGGATCTAGTTCATAAATTTTTTAAGATTTTTGTTCCTAGACACTAGAGGTCTTTTTTGGGACTTTTCATCCCTGATTAGAATGTTATGATAGTTAAAATAATTAGTATATAAAGATGTAATAGCGTATTAAGAATAATAAATACAGTTTATTGTGAAGATGGTATGCAAGAAATAAAAATTATATTTTTAAAAATAATATCACTTATATAATGAGATGTGTGCATATTATTTTATAGTATGGCAAACAATTGGTTCAAGATTTAATCGTATCTAAAGAAATTGAGGTAATTAGATTTTAGAAAAAATACTAGTACATTTAAAGTTTGCGCCAAACAGTGTATTATTTTGAATCTTATCTATGGTAAGTATTAGATTTTTAAAAATAATTATACTAATGTATTTATTACATTAAAAATTATTCAGTAAAAAATCAGTTTTTTTATTTTTATTTTGAATGATGTAGTTTGCGCAATCTGATACAATCCTCCTAATTTTTCCCATTTTAAGCAATAATATTTTTTAATGCATTTGATACCAAAGCCTTATAGCATAAGATTTTTTAACAATGCTCCTAAAAACGTCAAAAAGTAGAGCTAATAAAAGTCTGTTTTTCAATTTTATTCATAGGCTTAAGCAAACAAAAGCAATGCCACAAGAAAAACTTTTACCGTAATGTCCAGCATGTATACCCAAAACTTTTGCAAAATTTTTATTTTTATAAAAATAAAATGTAAATGTGTATTCCATGTTACAAATTCATTTTAATAACTAAACTGATTGTCTAAGTGAATTATGTATATAAGAATATAAAGATATTTTTATCTTTTAATATAATATATATTAGTTTAATTAATTTTTAAAGTTATATGTGTTTTTTGTTGTTTACATGGCTATTAGAAAGCTTCTTTTTTATAGTTGTAACAAATTATTGTTATAAATTCAATTTTTAGGTTTATAACTTGAAGTAAATTATATTTTGGCTTAACTTAAAATAATTTAAAATAATTATGTTAAAATGTGTGAAATGTTTTCATTTAGTTATTCAAATTGTATGAACAGCTGTATATTTTAGGGACATGTTGCATCTACCTTCTGCAAAACATTATTATTGAAACAATAATCATGCTATTATCATAATTAAAAACTGAAATTTGTATTTCATATACATCCTCCTAACATGTTTTTAGGCTGACAAAACTTCGTGCTACATATTTAATCAATCACCTTATACATCAGACATTACGGTATTTATTTTTCTTGTATGCCAGCGAGGCGATTGGGCATTGAATGTTAGGTATTTTATATTTTAGTTACATCCCGATATTTTTCTTAAACTGATATATGAATCTTAATCATTGTAAACCTTTAAAGACCGAAATAAATACGATTGCTGAAAGATTGTTGTTGGTATTTGTTGCAACTTGCTAGTGTTTTGAATGATATAGTTTTAAATTACTTTATAGTGAAACTGCATTTTTTTATGTTTATGCAAAATAAACAAATACTGATTGAAATTTGATCAAAACAAGAGGCTTATTATATGTTTTTTTTTAAAATCAATATTAAGCTTAGTTATTAAATTTTCTGATTTGGTAGAGTTTTTGTTTATTTAGTCAATGGTGCCTAATCCAGGAGATCCTGATCAAGTTGGCTACGAGGAGGTTAATAGTTATTGATATACTCAATCTTGAAATAAAAACTATTTTTTCACTTACTGTGGAAAAAATGTTTTAATTATTTGTACACAGGGCTCAAGTCATTAAATTTCATGCTCTATGTACATGATTTTAGCAATACAGTATAGTATTATAATTAACTTTATAAGTTTTAAAGTTTAGTACGCCTTATTCATGATCAAGGAACATGGCAAAAATAAAACAAAAAATTATTTCTAGCAATGTTTCTTGTTATTGTTGCTATAAACAGTTTACATCTGCATCAAGTATAATTATTATTAATGTATTTGTTGTAATTATTTTTATTATCATACTGTGTATATCGTCATCATCATCCTTGTTGTTGTTGTTATTTTTATTGATATTATTATCATTCATGTTATTATTTTTATTTTAACTATAAATTTTTAACCTTATATTATAGATATGTATCAAAAATAATAATCAAAGTTACTATTTAAAATAAAAACATTTAAAGTCATATTGAATGTATTCACATTTTTAAATTTTAGTAATCATGCAAGCTATAGTTTTCTATGATCATTGAAGATTTCTCGTTTTAATTAAGCAAGTTAAGATAAAATATAAATTTGAGCCCTGTGTATACTTTCTTTTAAAATTTTTGTTTTTTTTGTTATATTTTGCTTTAGTTATTTAATTTTAGTTTCATTTTTTTGAATAAATTTTCTTTTTTGATAATATTTTCTGTATTAAAGTTTCTTCAAATTTGCAATAACCTTCACTAATAAAAATGATAGTTAAGTTATCTTGCTTCTTTTAATATTATACTTATATGTACTGACATAGATACAAGTACCTCGTGAAGCTGTTGGATTTATAATTGGATCAAAAGGAGCTAATATTAATAATATTCAACAAATGACTGGTTGTAGAATTCAATTTAAAAGTATTGCTATTTGGTTTACTTTATTTCTTTCATGTAAATCTTATCCTTAGAAAAGCACTTGTTTAAAAAAAAAAACTCTTTTAACATTTATTTATAGATGAAATGGAAGGTGAATTCAAAACAGCTACACTACAAGGCAATCCTCAAGCTATAGTTATGGGTAGAGAAAAGTTGCTTGAAATACTGCAAGCTGTGAGTTTCAAAATTAATCACTCTTATTTAGTCAGTTTATTTATTTTTGCTTTTATTAAGTAAGATATATAATATAGGTGATTTATTATTAGGTAATGATTTATTTTCATTTAAACAACAACTCAGTGAGCAAATTTGTTAATTATAAATTTTTTTAATCGCTTTAGTAAACATTATTTTAGTTATTACTAAGAATCTACGCTGTTTGATAATAATAAGAATAAACTAAATAAATAAAATTAATTGTTTAATTTGGTTACATGGAATACACATTTATATGGTTCACTTGAATAAAATATTTTAGCAAAATTTAGCTGTAATTAATGTTTTAAAGTAAATTAATGTTCATTGTACCAATTTTCATTTATATGAATATAATTAAACTAATGTATAGTTAAATATTATATACATACATACATACATGCACATATCTATCTATACATATCTTCTGCTGTTTTATTATGATTACATAGTGGTAATTTATATGCCTTAAATTTTGCAATTAGTATCTGGTAATAACTTTCCAAACCACTACCTTTCTGTTAATTTAGGTATATTAGCTGAGTAGTTCAAGTATGTCCTTACTTGCGCTTTGTCAAATAAAACGCTTTGTCTGAATAAAAATGAATAAAAAACTTGAAGAGTTAAAAATACATTGACACACAAGCCTTTGTCTATGCATATATATATATATATATATATATATATATATATATATATATATATATATATATATATATATATATATATATATATACATATACATATACATATACATATACATATACATATATATATATATATATATATATATATATATATATATATATATATATATATATATATATATATATATATATATATATACACATACATACATACATACATACATACATACATACATACATAAATACATATATATGCACAAATATATATATATATACATTAAGGTTGTATATTTACTTTTATAAGAATTTTTAATATCAAAGACAATTTAAACAGATTTTAACATAGCTATTTTTATGTTTTTGTTTCAATAAACTTGTATGTGTGCTTGAGACAAAATACTTATATGTTCATCAATAGGGTTGAGTTTATTAGTGGAGTGTATTAATTTAATTGAATGATATAGAGAAGTGTATTAATTTAATTCTTTTTGCATTATTATTATTAATATTTAAATCAATATATTCGATTTTCAGATAAATTGAATTTAATTAAATATATACAAATTAAAATATATTGAGTGCTTTTAAACAAACAGGCGCAAAATTGTAGATTATTTTTTATAAAACGCAAAATTTAACCAAGCTTGCATAAAACTTGAGTAGAGAAGAAAACTTTCTTTAGAAGTTTTAAATTTTATCAAGATGTAGTTTGGGAAGTCAGTTTCTTTTTTGTTCAAAAGTGAAGGGAACATTATTAAAAGATTCAGCCCAAATGTGGTAGAAGTAATACAACCCAAGAGAGATAAGTGATATATAAAAGTAAAAAATAGAATGAGGAGCCAGAAAATAACAGCTATAGATGTTGCTAATTTTGTAATGGTTTCTACATATGATTTCATCAAGCTTAGTGTGTTAACATTTATTAATATAAAAAAGTAAATTTAAATAGTAGTTTTAAAAATTTTTAATTAAAATTCCCAAGACATGAAGCACTCCAAGCTTATCCAGAGAAAACATCACAATTTTGATCTAAGCAATCAACAACCATATAGTTCTGTTTTAATAAAAGGTGATGATTTTTTATGAAGACTGAAGTACAAGTTTGTACCATTAGCAAACAGAACCAATTTTTAGGTTAGATAAGAAGAAGAATCTAATAGAAGCAATATGCAAGCAAGTGTGAACCCTTGCTCTACCCTAGAGAATAATAGAAATAATAAAGAATGAATTGTCCGGCAAAAGTAATTTTATTACTGCGGCAATATGGAGTTAACAGATTAAAGATATTTTTATTAGCTAAAGTATTTTTTTTAAACAACGATTACGGCTATGATATTTTTCATAAAGATTAAAAAGCAAATAATTTTATATTAATTTTAAAAGAGATTTTTTTTTTAATTGGGTTTTTTTTTTTAATTGGGTTTTTTTTTTTTTCAAAATTACAAAATAGCAACAAAAAATCTTTTTATAAGATAAAAAAGTAGTATAAATACAATCTAGCTTGTTTAGAGCTACATGAAATATCATTGTTGACATCATACTGAAAAAGGAATATGGAAAATAAGCACCATATAGGGACTTTTTATAGGGACCTATCTATTATAAAGTTATAAAGTATATCTGTTATAAAGTAAATCTGTTATAAAATAAAAAAAAAACTTTAAACTAAAATGTTTTCAAGTTCAAAGTTATTTTTACTAAAGTGAGTTACTAATGCAGTTACTAATTGGATTCCAAATAAATGTCATTGTACAGACCGTGCTGATACATAACTAGAAAAATTTCTACATAGTTCTATTAAATTTTTATTCTATTAAATTATTCATATAAAAGTATTCTCTTAAATTTTTGATGTGTAACATTAATCGTTAACACTATCAGAAAAGGTTTTAAATTAATTAAAGTTATTACATTGTGTGATCTTGAAGAAAAGGGTTTTCTTTTATTGGCATCTTGGTCGACTCATGCTTAGTCAACTCGTGGTTGTAACCAGAACTAAAATAGCCTCCTCAACTGTTGTGGTCTTCGTGACTTTAGGGAGGTGAATTAAAACAAATAAATAAAAAATTATAAAATATATCAGATGGCAAGGTACATATAGAAGCAGCAACAAGTAGAATGTGATACATGGGTAAAGTAGGTTAGTTATAGTGAAAGACTTTTTTAAAATAACTGAGTTTAATGTTGTTTAATAAGTCTGTCTGAAATAAATTTTGATACTTAATATAAAGTATTTTAAAAATAAATCAATAAAAAAAAACTTTTTTTTACTGTAAATTGGTTAAACAAAAAAAAAATGCAATGGCTTGATTTTTTGCTCAGTAAATATTGAAGTGTTAAATGCAAAACTTAATATAAATTTCTGTTGCTGTATGACTTATTTTTTAAAACTATTTTCTCTCTTCAATCTTATGTCATAAAGCTCAATATGATTGTTTTAAATTGCTTTACATTAAACCTTTATGATTTTCTTTACATGTATTTTATTTTTTGCTTACATTTTTTTAATGATTACTATCAGGATGTTGAACTAGTAAAATATTCTTCATATTTCTTTTTGCTTCTTTTTCTCTTGTCTCTCTTGTTTAGAGTTTTAGTAATTTAATTTTAAGTATTTGATAATAAATAAAAAATAGATAACTAATATCTATATGAACATTAGTACTATTGTAGATTGTGAAATAATGTATGTTGTAGATAGATTCAAATGAGTTATGTGTTAAGCTAGGAACAAGTGATCAATAGCTCGGCTTCACTGTTTTTGAAATATTGGGTTTAAAGTTTAAATTCTTAGTAGTATAAAGATGATAAAAGCTGATAAATTTGTCTAACTAATTGTTAGAAATTTATCAAGATAAAAATAAGAGGATTTAAAAAAAATTGTTTTTTGTTGTTTTGTTAATTTTTTTTCAGATACAGTAAATGTCTCCTATTTTTAAATGTATCCAAAGCCTTAACATTTGAAAGATTACAGAAATCTGTTTTTGTGGAATCAAGCCATTTATTGACTAGTTCTCTGAATTGGTTTTAATAAAACTCCATTAAAATTTTAATGACACATAGTATAAAAAATTGTTATAACTGGCTAAGTATACAATACAATACTTTAACAAATTCCCTTTTAGTATCAAGATAGAGTCAATGGTACAGGAGGAACGTTTGTGAGTTGATTCTTTACATATAGTTATATATAATTTTTAAAAAAGGTAAAATTTATGCAATGTCTTTTAGAAACAAGTGTTGCATTACCTACTTCCTTTTTTCTTCATTTTTCTTCTTGAACTTTTTTTTTTTTTTTCCATATACATTAAGTATCATTGATTCAAAAAAATTGATATAAGGATCATTTAAAATTTATTTGTTTTTTTCTGTTTTTTAAAAGGATGTTTAAAATCTCAATAAAACATTTAAAAATTTTAAAACATAATTCAAATTTTTTGTAAAAACCATTTTCATGCAACCATACAAAATAGGAAGGCCTTCTAATATTAAAAAAAATTTTTTTTTCAGGATACAATGTATTCTATAGATGCATTTAAATATTTTATTTATTCTAAATATTATTAAAAAAGTGAATCAAAATATGTCATTTAATTGGTTTTATAATATTTTTAAGTTTTATATGTGTCTAATAATCTTTAAGCATTGCTACTACAATATTTTTTTAGATCTGCTCAATCAGTAATGTGTAGTATCAAAATTAATGAGATTTTTTTAATTGCCATAATTGATCTTTTAAATAAGTTGATATTGACAGGTTTTATTAAAACTAGTCAGTTATTATTTGTTGATTTTGCCTATCCTTATTTCAGTATGGCATCAATGATGTTTTGTGTAGCATTAATTTTTTTTTTTTTTTTTTTTTGCACACATTTTTTGTGTGTTTGCGCATTTTTATTATGTTTTTTTTTTTTAAAAGACCCTAAATAAGTTTTTTGAACTACCTTATGTTGTCTTAAGAATAAAAAAATTTATGCTTTCTATTTAACTTTTTTTAATTCGCACATGCATTCAATTATGCAAAGTTTAAGAAAAGTTAAAATTAACTAATTTTTAAAATATTTATGTAAGGCCTAAGACTTTAAAAGATATGTTTTCTTTATAGCAGTGGCGCAGCCCAAGACCAATAGGAATGACCACTGCAAGACCTGGTTGGGTTACACCTGGTGTACCCGGACATTTTGCTACTGCTAGACCGGGTTGGCCTGGCCATCAAGTTGGGCCAAGAGCTTGGGTTCCAAGAGTTCCGGGGCAATATATACCAAGAGCAGCAGGAGGTTTAGGAGGTAGCAGTATTCTGCAACCTGGTCATAAACATATGGAAATTGATGTTCCGGCAAATAAATGTGGTTTAATTATTGGAAAAGGTGCCATTTATTTATTTAGGATTTAAATTTATTTTTATAATTCTTTTATAATTTATGATTTTTTTCTTGAGGTATATATTCCTAAAAATAGGTATTTTTGTGATTCTTAGGTGGAGAAACACTTAAATATATGCACACAGAAACTGGAATAAACATAGAAATAAAAAGAAATGTTCCGGATTCATCCCCTTTTCGTACATTTAATTTAAGAGGTATTTTATGAGAAAAAATATATTTAAATCAGTTATTTGTTTAAAATAGCTGAAATATAGAACTGTACATATATAAATATATAATTTAAAGATGTACATTTAGCAAATGTTGTACTGTAGAATTCACACATTACTTTGAGATTCTTGTAAAATGTGTTGTTTATTTATTTTTTCTGATTTAGCTATTTATTTAGTTATATTTAATGCTTTTAATAAATCCTAAGTTTTATTCTAAGGAACTGATGAACAAATCTCTAAAGCTGAAACGTTTATTAGAGAAAAAGTTGGAGATCAGGTAAGTTATCTTTCATTCTATCTAAAAGTTATAAAAAATATTGTAATAATTTTTTTTAAATATTAAAACAACAACTACAAGATATTCATTTAACAATTTATATAAACAAGATATTTAATAAGAATATGTTTTTATTTTCTAGTCTCTTACAGCTAAACCTGCTTCTGAAACTGATGATCAAAAGTAAGAGTTTTTAAGTTTAAAATTAAAACATAGTTTAAAATATATTTAGTTTAATATTAAAACATAAATTAAAATATATGGGTTTTTTTCCTTCCTAGAATACATATTTCAAAGTTCTTTTCTCTCTACCATTCAAATTATTTAAATTTAATGTTGTTGTTTTTAATTAAAACTAAAAGAGCTTTTAACTTCTTCAAACAATTATATTAATATACTATTAAAGTAATTATAGTGGGTGTAAAAATTATCTGACACAAAGGAAAAGCTTTATTTAGTTAAAGCCCATTCAAATAACATAAGCAAACACTATTCTAATGTAATTTTACATATGAAATACAAATATTATTTCAAAAAAACAATTTTATTAAATGTTGACTTGATAATTGCAATATTTTAAAATTTAAGCTTCAAAAAGTATAAAACACTGAAAAAAATTCACTCAAAACTCTCGTGACCTTAAGCAGCCAAAGCTGCGTCTAAACAGTTAAAATACTTCTTCACAAGATTATCACATATGCTAATAGGAATTTTAGCCCACTCTTCTTTGCATATTTCATTCAATTGGATAAGATTTCTTGGATCTCTCTCCTGTACCCTCAATTTCAATTCCTGTCAGAGATTTTCAATTGGATTGAGATCAGGTGATTGGTTTGGCCATTTCTATAAGTCCATTTCCCTCTCCTGAAACCATGCACAAGTTGCCCTAGCTGTGTGCTTTTTATTGGCTGACCACGAGATTTTCACAAAATTTTCAATTTTTGGCTGACTTCACAAGATATCTCTCAAGAATGCTTCAATACATTTCAGAGTTTTCCAGGACCTGCAGAAGAGAAACAACCTTAAAGCATTATGCTATCACCTCCAAACTTCACTGTTGGAACAGCATTCTTCAGGTCAAATGCAGAGTTCTTCTGTCTCCAAACATGACTGACACAGTTCCAACCAAACAACTTTATTTATTTAGTCTCATCTGATCATAATATTTTATCCCAAAAGCTTGAAGGTTTACTCAAGTGTTTTTTAGCCAAGTTCAGATGGTTCTTTATGTGAATTTTCTTTAAGAGGGGGTTTTTTCTTGGTAATTGAGATTGAAACCCTCCCTTTTGAAGAACTGTACTAATTGTATTCTTGCATACATTTGTCCCAAAATTTTAGGTGGTCTAAAAATTTGTCCCACAAATTTTGATAGTGAATGACTGCAGTTAGAAAGATTTCTATGACCTAATTTTGTATTCTAGAATGTTCCTTTGTTTTCTAATTGTTGAATATTCCCTCGCACACAATGGATGCCAAATTATTGGCTAATTAAATTCTGTATTTACGATGTGTTTAGATACTTTTTGAACCTTAAATTTTACAATATTGCAATTATCAAGTCAACATCTAATAATATTGTTTTTTTTTATGATATTTGTATTTCCTATGTTAAATTACATAAGAATAGTGTTTGTTTATGTTCTTTTGTTGAATGGGCTATAATTAAAGTTTTTCCTTTGTTTCTGATACTTTTTGCACCAACTCTATCATAGTAAAAATCACAAAAAAATTTCTATAAAGACAACTTATAAATGATTTTATATATGTGTTTCTTGAAAAAGGTGACAGCAGTAATGTCAAAAAATGATTCTTAAATATATTATTAAGGCCTGTCACAAAATAAAGGAATAACGTTACAAACATTAAATTGAAATATTGTCAAATAACAAAATTAAAATGTTTCTAATTTTTAGTTGTTGTTTTTAACATGCAAATGGCCATTGTTACAGTTAAATTCCAAATATGTCAGGCTTTTTTATTAAAGTAAAAAATTTTAGATTAACCGTTTAAAATATAAAAAAAATAAAACTATTTTTGTAATAAAAGTGATGTAATAACATAATTCCAGTTCGGCTTTTTTTTAATTTTTTTTTTTTTTTTATATTAAATATTAGTTAATAGATTTAATCAGGTTATTTTTATTGTCAAGAAATAAAAGTTATTTTTTTGCACAAAAAAAAAAATTAATTTTAACAAATCCATTCTTAATAAGCCTGTAAGCAACCACTAGTTAAGTTTTGCATTTGCAGTAAATAAAACAAAGTTAAAGAGCTGTTAACAAGTCTTAAAAAACTATAAATTGTATAGTCAGGAAAATATATATTAGGAATTACCTAGTAAAAGGGTGAGTTAGATGGTTGCCAAAGTACACATAGTATTTAGTTGATAGAGCAAGTGATATTAGCTTGCTTTAGCAGCAACCATAATTATTTTTCTTTAATTAGTGCCAATCAAGGAAGCAGGTGGGGTCCTCCACAACACAATAGCCAATGGGCAACACAAGCCACTCAGCAATGGGACGGTCAAGCTGTTTGGACTCAACCTCAGCAAGACCAATGGGGCCAGCAGGGGGCATGGAATCAACAGCAACCTGTAACTTGGAACCAACCAACAGCTAATGGTGTGTGGGCTCCACAGCAACAATGGCAACAACCTAATGCTCAGTGGCCAGCTCAACAACAACCATGGGGACAACAAGTATGTAGAAATATATAAATTATAATATTAACTAATAACTAATATATTTTGAGTTTTTTATTTAACGCGTGATACATAATTATCTAGCAAACACCTGGTACAGAAGTTACAAATGTAGAAGTCCCTGCAACTGACACAACTGCTGCACAAACAGGTTCTCAGCCAGACTATAGTGCAGCATGGGCGGCCTACTATCAGCAACAAAATCAATACTATCAGCAGTATATGCAACAACAAACACCTGGTACTCCTGCTAATACAAACCCAGCTGGAACAGCTAATCCAGGTATATCTACTCACTTATCTTTTTAGTAAAGTAATTGAAATAGTTAAATATAACATATTTAACTATTATATGATTTTCGTATTTGCTGTTTTAGTAAATATTAATAAATAAAGTATTTGTATATATTTAAATATATAACTTACTATTATATACTTGATTATATTACAATATATATTGTTTTAGCTGGAAATCAAGCTGCTGCTATGGCAGATTACCAAGCTAAGATGGCAGAATACTATAAATCCTTTGGTCAACAACCGCCTACTCAATAACGCTTACATAGAGGTATAAATAAAAATGCCTGATGCTAAAATTTCCTATTGCATATTTTCGGAGTGATTACAAATAGCTCTTCAAGTCAACTTATTTTAAAAAACTTCTAGTTATTTTCTTGAGACTTGGATCTGACGTCGAATGTTGGATCTGGTATTGCTTCTCCAATTAGGATAAAACTCAATATTTTTAGATGTTGAGGAGCTGTTTGTAACAAATTAAACTGCATTGTATGTCTTTGTTTTTACTTCTCTCTTGTAGATAACAACATATTGATGTCGTTACATTGCAATTATTATACTGTTCTATTCTATGCTTGTCGCTTATGTTAATATGCATGTCATCAAATACGCTTGCATTTAAACTGATTTGATTGCTGTGAACATTTTCCTACATAAAACTATTATTGAATTAAAAGAAGATATTAATGGAAATATAAATCTACTACAAAGATTAAATGACTGTAGCCCAATTTTGTATAGTCTTTGTTATTCTTAGTTTTTTAAGGTGTCATTAACAAGAAAGATAAAACTAGTTTTGGCTGCGTAGTATTTAATTTGTTATTACTCCTTTTTTAAGAGCATATTTTTTTATTTTTAAGCTTCTTTTTCGATTTCTTGTCAAATGATGCTAAAAATTATTCCATCTTGACCAGCAAGGCAGCGACATGGCAAAATCTTGAATCTCAGATTAAATGGTAACAAATTTCTTGCAGCATACATTGTCATTTTAATGATAGTGTTTATCATGTTACTATAGTGATAATATCTGAATTAAATCATTTTGATATTTGATAAAATTGATTTATTTCCTGTTGACTATATTATGCCATGTTAATTGATTTATTAATTAAATGCTGCATTTACTTTGTCATTGATTACATGTAATATTTTAAATTACTATCTGAAATTAAAGATGATTTTACAATTATTATTAGTGTATATTTAAAGTAGAGATGGAATATAACCTTGTCTGAAACAAACAGCTAAACCTCAACATTTTGAATTTCTAGGCTATTTTTTACCTTATTAATTAATGATTTTTATATATTTTCCCCCAATTGTAAATAGAACAATCTTAATCATAAAAGTGTTTTAATTATATCAGTTTTATACTGTTTTTTGTTCACAATATTGATATTTAGATCTTTTAAGTTTAAGATCTAACTATTTAAAACTTCCACAAACCAAATTAAACTAATTTGAGACCAAAAATCAATTTATTAATTACAGCTAAATTGTCCTAGTTTAGAATTTAGGTTGAGGTTAATTTTTGGATTCTTCCATCTCTTATTTAAATGTTTTGGTTGATTTTTATTTTTATTAAAAATAGCTGCTCTTAAAGAGCAAGTGATTTCAACTTTTAATCAAAGTGTGTTTAACGGTAAGCTTTAAAGAGGTTACATTACAAAATTTGTCCAAAATGAGCATTAGAGTATGTGTGACTGATATGCATACTGGTGGTGAGCCTCTACGTATAATAACTTCTGGGTATCCGGAGATAAAAGGTAATACGCTACTGGAAAAAAGACGTTATGTAAAAGATCATTTAGATCATATGCGTACATTTCTTATGCATGAACCTAGGGGTCATTTTGATCAGTATGGTGCATTGTTAGTCGAACCTGACAATAAAGAAGCTGATATTGCTGTGCTTTTCATGCACAATGAGGGTTATAGTACAATGTGTGGGCATGCAATAATTGCTTTGGGAAGGTATGTGGTTGACAACAAGTTAAACAAAAGTTGTTCAAATGTTTTCAATGGCTATGCTGAAACAAAAATCCAATGCCCTTGTGGAATGGTGCGGGCTAGAGTGGAAATAAATAATGGCAGATCCGGTTGGTATTTTAAATGTTATTTTAAAATATTCTTATTTATATGTATTTATCTTTATTTGTCAGTTTTAGATTTAAAATTTTGAATTTATTAAGATGATTTAATATGTTTTGTTTTTATTGAAATAATTTTCAAAAAAGGTGCTGTAAGTTTTGTTAGCGTTCCGGCATTTGCATACCGAATTGATGTAACTGTCAAACTTCCATCTTATGGGGAAGTCAAACTTGATATTAGTTTTGGTGGAGCATTTTATGCTTTAGTAGATGTTAATCAAGTTTCCTTGAATTTACTGGAAACTCCATCAACAAGTCTAATTACTTTTGCTAATGAAGTAATCAGAGTTGTCAAAGAAAATTTTAAAATAACTCATCCATTTGAGGAAGACCTCTCGTTTTTGTATGGTGCAATATTAACTGATGGTAATGACTCAAATCCTAATGAAGTCTCAATAAATTTGTGTATATTTGCTGATAGCCAGGTAAATTCGTTTTTAGTAATGAGTGTATGTAAATGTGTTACATTTAAACAATTTGATTTAAATTCAAAATAAGTTTTTCCTTTTTCTTCTTTCTTTTTAATTAATTGATGCCCCTCCCCCAGCCATATTTCAATATCTTACTTATTTTAAGATCTTTTTCTTTCTTTTCTTTTTTCAGATTAACCTATTATCGTTTAAAGTCTTCCTTAAATTTTGCTTAAGATTTACGTGGAGCTAATTTTTTATTATCAGTTTTATATTACTTTAAACCTTAAACTTGATTAACTGTGCTACAACCTTCTCTCTAAACTTAGGTTAGAGCATAATATAATTAAAAATCAATCAGCCAAAATTCATTTAATTGGTGTTTAAATTTCTGAGTTTTTATTACTGGTTTCTTTACACCCTTAATGATACCATTTATAGCTTGACCGCTCTCCAACTGGTTCAGGTGTTACAGCTCGAATGGCCTTACAGCATGCTAAGGGACTTGTGGGTGTTAATGAACAACGTTCTTTTGTAAATTCAAAAACGAGAAGTAAATTTACTGGAGAGGTACGTATATAAAGATATTAAATGAATTAATTTATATATAATATAGTTAATATCAGTAATAATAAGTCATTTCTAAACTACAAGATTTATTATTTACCTAGAAAATTTCAAAAAAAAAAAAAAAAAAGGTATTTTTTTGTAAACCAAAACAAAGTTTTTGAAATTGCCGCAATTGTGAATATTAAAAATAAAATCAATTTAAAATTTATTTAAAATGTGTAAAAAAAACTTGAATATTATGTTTGTTAATTCTTAAATCTTTAAATAATTCTTCATTTTTTAAATCCTTTAAATTTTCTTTGTTTTACAAAATGTTGCGACAACCTATGGCAAATTGAATTGCACATGCTAAGTTAAAAAATTTTCATTTTTTAAGAGTTTGTAACTTTTTTAGATTGTACAAACGACTAAGTTTGGAGGATATGATGCCGTTCAGGTTAAAGTTGAAGGACATGCGTACTATACAGGAGAGAGTGTATTTTATAATGAGGATGGTGATACGTTATCTGGTGGCTTTCTTATTAAATAATGTTTTCGACCAAGTACAGTCTACTTTGGATGTTGAATATTTGTGCTTTTTGTATTATACATTTACATGCCGTACGTAACAACGTGTAAAAATTATTACTTTATTTCATTCTATTTGAATGTTTCAAAAAGGGTGCAAAGTTCGAGAAAGTTGTTTAACGATTTCACATTGCTGTGCATTTTAATCAAGTTTGCTTTTGAAATAACGATCAAGTTGATAAACTCAATTTTATAAAAGGTCAGTGGTATCGTAACAGGTAAAATTCTACTTCCGGGCAAAAAATAAATTATTTTTTGATGTATTCACTCAAAATTTGGTACCTCGTCTGAAGCAAAACCATTAATTTCGCTAAAACCACATAGTGAGTATTGCTACGTTTCTTTTATGGCTTTCGCGTGTCCAAGCGTGTTAAGTAATTTTTGCTTTTAAGTGTTTTTTAAACTAAAAGTAGAAAATAATCTTTTTTTCATTCAGTTCAATTCTTATCCAATCGACCTTTCCCCTTAAAGCAATGCATTATGGTATTTGTATGTACAAAAAAATCTAACGCGATTCATATTTTTTTTAATTTTTCATTATTTCGTAGCTTGCTCGTACATAGATAATAGTTTTCCCTCTTATAATTAATTACATTTACGCCGAAATCTTTTATAAATCTTATTATCTCTGCAGGAGAATAACTGCATTGTAATATAAACAAATGTTTCAACACAGCTAAAGTTAAATTTTGTTAAAGAAGCTTTTTTGAAGTATATTTTACAAGTATACATAAGTAAAAGAATATACAATTAACTCTATAAATATTCCTACTGAATCTAGCTTTTTAAAACGCCCTTAACATTTCACTAAATGCAACATTTTGTATAGTTACAAACAAGGAATTTAACACCGATGAAAACAAAATCTCTAGAGATGTAATTTAATGGTCAAAAAGACAACATCTCTGTTTCCAATAACACATCAACATATATTTACTTATATAGTTTCAGGCTATATTTTGAAAGAAGAGCTACTAAATATGAAATAGATGGATATAAGTTAATCAAAAAAGAACTACGTAAAATAAATTAGAGTTAAACCAAATATTAATAAAAAAATAAATTTAAATTTAGCCTAAATCATTTCGTGAAATATTTACTAACGAGTAAATAAAAAAATGTTTTAAAGTATAAGCCTAGTTACAATGGAAAAATTTCTCCACTGTCTGGGCCATTTAATTTAAACTAATTTGACTGAGGAAAGTTAAAACTTGCCATAATGTTAAACAATTTTAATAAAATAATTCAAATTAAATCAGAAACTGAAGATTAATTCAAAAATAGATTTAAGAACAAAATAAAAAACTTTGCATCAAGTTTTGGTACAGTTATAAACATGGAAATAATACTTCAATAACACCTGGCCCGATAAAATCTGGACAAATTTCAAGTTATTCTTGTTTAATTTGTTAATAACTTAATCACATGGTGTGATATCTTATTTTGTAGAGAATTTAATTCTCCAAAATATGAAATTATTTTGAAATTTGAGTTTTATTAAAAATGGTTAAAGTTAACCCATCAAAAGAAGAAAATATAAGAAGAACTATGTACCAGTTCGTTAAAAACCATTCGTTCGTTAAATACCAGTTCGCAAAAAACAAGTCATAATTGATAAAGAGTCTTATTTCGGTTTAAGCAACTTCGAGTTGTCTTGAAATTCAGGATATTATTCGAGCGATCGTGACACGTGACGTCAAATGAAGTCAAACTTTAAAGAGTTCAAAAATTTAAACCTAAATTGTTGGTCTGCGGATCATTGTCTCCTAAAGGTAGGTCAAAACACTTCATCGGGTCAAGCTATTAACAAAGATGTTTACTTTGATAAGTGCTTAAGATCTAGACTAATTCCATTCATTGAACAGTACCATAAAAATGATAATGTAATCTTCTGGCCTGATTTAGCATCGTCACATTATTCATAGTTCAAGCATTCTTAAATTCAAAAAACACCGAAATTGTACCAAAAGAGAGAAATATTGCTATCACTCCAGAACTTAGACCAATCGAAGATTTTTGTAGTGAAATCAAATGAACAGTTTAGGCTAAATGCTGGCAAGCTGAAAATTTGGAACAACTTTGTAATGAAGTTGACTGTTGCTTTAAAAACTTAGATCCTGATATAGTACAACGATTTGGAAGATTGTCTTTTACTCGAGTTGATGCAGCTCGGCGAAACGGAATCCAAAACTTATAACTTTTTTTATTTGAATGATAATATTTTTTCATCTATAATTATCTTTTTTCCGAAATAAAAAATCTTTATCCGTTGAAAAGTTATTAAATTTTTTCTTTTTGTCCAGATTTAATCGGGTCAGGTGTTACTCCAACTATTGTTAAAAAAGCTTATAAGAAACTGTGATAGTAATTTACAATCACAAGCTTGTTAGTGGAGTAAGGCACGCCAAAAAAGCGTAGCTTAAAGTAGTGATTGCAACTCCTGCCCTTGTTGCCGGGGTGGCAAGGGTAGCATGAATGTGCCCTTTCTAGGAAATAGGTATCGTAAATTTTTGTAGGTTATAAACATTTCATTATCAATATCTACCAACTGGAGTTGGTAATAGCTCCAGTTGGTAGATATTGTATATTTTAAAACAGTTTAAAATTGAGTTTAATGAAACTTTAAAATATATTATATTGAAGAGAATGGAAGACATTGTATTAAAGCTTGGTTTAAAGTGTTTTGTTATTTTATGATTGATCACTGAAAGCTGTCTTTTGTGAAAACTTTGCAAAATATGATTCATGTTATGGCGGAGTTGGGAAAGGATATTGAACATGGAGAAAATCTGCTGCACCACTAAAAGATCACAAGGACTCCAGTCTTTATAAGGCTGCAAGTACTTTAAAAATTGAGAAAGAAAATATAAAGTTTACAACAATTAATGCTCAAATGTACATGGGGAGGCAAGCAGTTCAAAGAAAAGGCTTGCTATCTAATTGGAACATTGAAAACATTGCTTTGACAGAGTGTAGCTATAATAGGAGATAATGATGAAGAAATCAATATTTACCAGTTTAATTTAAATAAGAGTGAAAATGGCAAGGAATTAAAAATGTCGATGATTGAAAACTGTTATGTTTTTCTCATGACATTTTGTAAAAGCAAGAACAACTGGTCAAAGATAAACATTTCTATTCGGTACTTGCAGATGAATCCCCAAATATTACATGAAGGAACAAATGTCGTTTAATATAAGAACTTGCAGTGACAACTATGAAGTGAATGAAGAATTTATCGGAGTATATGAATGCGTCAACCGTCTTTTTTCAGATGCCTTGGCAACATATATTAAAGATATCCTTTTGAGATGCAACTTGGAATATACAAAAGTTGCTTGAATTGGCTTTGATGGAGTATCAGTTATGTAATGCTTAGCAGCATGTAATTGTTGCAACATATCCAAAATATCTATTTTCGATCAAATCTAAAAGGATATTTTGCGTGACTCTGAATCAAATGAATACAGAATATCGCGACTGAATTTTATGTCAATGACTCGATATACCACACAAATAAAAGCAATGCAAGTGGTGTTGGAGAAGATTGCAGAACTCCATACAATATTAAACAGTCTTCAGAGTGACAAGACTATTGCTGCAGAAACAAGAGCACAAATTAAAGGTTTATTATCTCAGCTTTCATCAGTAAAGACACTTTTTGAACTGCAATTCACTTTTGAATTTTTTGCTATTTTAGAGAATCTATCGAAGCAGTTACAAGAAATTAATCTGGTAGGTCATGTCGCAGTATTCTGCATTGGAAATGCGTTTCAGAGATTTGTAGAACTTAGATCAGATAAGGAATTTAATAAAACTTTAAAGGTGACAAAAAAAAACAACCTGGAAACAAGCAAGACATTGAGTCTGAAACCGAAGTTACGCAGAGACAAAGAGTAATACCTAAAACATTACGCTGTTCGGTAATTATTTAAAAACCTAAATTGGGCGGTGCATTGACTGGTCTTGTCAAACCAGAGCAATAACCAAAGAAAACTTATTTTGAAGCAATTGATGCTATTTTGAACAGTCTGAGTGAGAGATTTGAACAAGGTGAATTAACTGCTGTGAAAAATATAGATGAAGCTTTGATTTCATCGGTGAATAAACAAGATGATCCACCGTTTTTATTCAAAATACCATTTTTTAATGATGATGACATCTTGGAACTAAAATTTGAGTTGAAAAGGCTACCAACAATTATTAACCTGTACAATGCTTTTGCATCAATCAAAATACAGAGTGTTTCCAGAGTGGCAACAATTGCAGATATTTTCAATGCCATGCCAGCTGCATTTGTGGCCAATAAACAAACACACAAATTAATGATGCTTTACTACACTGTGCCTCTATCGACATCATCATGTGAAGGAAGCTTTAGAGTAATAAGGAGAGTAAAAACATGGGTTAGGTCACAAGCCTGAACAACATCATTTTTGCTCAGATACCCAAAAAATAAATCGACAAAATTAACATTAAAAAAATTACCAAACAGTTCATTGAAATGAATGACAGTAGAATGAATTATTTCGGCAAATACACTTGAAATCGGTCTAGCACCTTGTAAAGCTAAGAATGGCATAAGATAAAATGTACTATTGACATCTAGAAGTTGCTAAGAAACAGTTGATATATTTAGGGAACAGACGTGTTTTTGTAGCGTGGATTTAGCATTTATATATATATATAAAAAAATGTACATCGCGATGAAAAACATTGAAAAAATAATTTCAAGTAAACTTGAGGAGCACAAAAAAAGTATCCTAAAAGAAACGGAAAGATTATTAAAAGACCAGGAAAAATCATTTACCTCAATTATCAGTGCAAATCTCAAAATTATTAAAGATAGATTGGACATGCTAGAGAAAGACATTAATAACAACAAATGTAAAATATCAAATATAGAAAAAGACTTATGCGACATTAAGGACAGCTTAAATTTTCAAGATAATGATATCTCGGAAAAAATATCACAAATAAAGAAATACTATGACAAAGAAATCAATTCATTATATAAAAAAATCTATAGATCTAGAAAAATTGATCAAGAAGGAACAACTTAAGA